TGCGTTCGACAAAACTGACGTCACTGCTGACGCTTCCTGGTGAGGGGAGTCGGACTCGGTCTCGCGTCCATCTGGGTCGCTCGCAGCAGCAGCAGCATCAGCTGCTGCTGCTGCTGCTGCTGCACTGTCGGACTCTGGCAGCGGAGTGCCGCCTGCGGGTGATGAGTCTGTCGACGGGCGCTCTGTTTGTATAGGGCTTGAGTCCGCGCCGGGGTCTTCGTCTGCTGTGTGTGGTCTTGTCGGAGTTGCCGTAGCAGCATCCGCGTCCACAGCAGCAGCATCTGGGTGCAGCGGATCGTGCTGTGCTGCTACTGCTGCTGCTGCTGCAGCTGAGGGGGTGTCGTCTGCTGCTGCGGCCGGCGGGCCCCTCAGCTCGCCCTCGGAGTGCCTCCCTGGGGTGTCCCCCTCAGAAGCCTCCTTTGAAATGTCAGCGAGGGCCGAGTCGGCAGCAGCAGCAGTTGGACTTGCGACTGCTGTTGTATCGTCTGCTGCTGCTGCTGCTGCTGGCTGCTGGCCCGAGAGCAGAGACATGGAAGAAGAGCCCCCCGGCAGCGGCCTCAGCCTCTGCCCCAAAACCCCTGCAATGGTCTTGGGCTTGAGGCGAGAAAGAGTGGCCTCGTAGACACGCAGCGTGGGGTGTATGTCCACCGCAGGGGAAGTGTGCAGCGCGTAAAGCGGGAGCAAGTCTGCCAGCTGCCGCAGCACCGCGTGCTCCAGCAAGTCCTGGGCCAGCGAGTTTTGCCGCTGCTGCAGCGAGACCAGGCCCCCCCTTTCTCCCCAGTAAAACGACGCTGCATCGTAGCTGTCTGCAGGGGCACAGGTGGCAGCAGCAGGGGGCGGGGGGGTGGGGTCTCCCTCTCCAGTCCAGGCTCGTCCTGCTGCACTTCCCCGCCGCAGCAGGTGTGCGTGGGGGCCCCCCTGGGGCCCAAGGGGCCCCAGGGACCCCAGCGGCACCCCAGCAAACAGCGAAGCTGCGGAAATGCGAGACGTCGGAGTCAGGCTGCTGCCCGCCCGCTGCATGTACCAAGACAAAGAGACAGCCTCGCGGGGAGACACCCCCAGCTGCAGCCGCGAGGAAGCCCCCGGAAGCAGCTGCGGGGCCCCGCTGTACCCCGAGCCCTGCAGCAAGCAGCAGCAGCCGCAGACACACAGGCAACCCGCAGCTGCCAGCCTGCGGCCGCCTACGCTCTAGGGCCAGCCAGCTGGGCAGCAGCAGCAGCAGGAGACGCAAACGAGGCAGCAGCAGCAGCAGCCGGAGGCACAAATGAGGCAGCAGCAGCAGCAGCAGCGCGGAGCAGCAGCAACAGCAGCAAAACCCCCAGCTCACGTAGGGCAAATAAGCCACAGGCAAAGCCTTGCGGCGCTTTTGGCCCGGAGGCTCCCTGTGGGCGGCGACGGCGGCCCAGGCGAAGAGGTTTGGGGAAGCCTTGAGGTGTACAGAAACCTGACTCAGGCTCGGCGGCAACCCCACATCTTCTTGCAGCGCGCTCCAGGGGCCGCTTTCAGGTTCCCCCTCTTCGGGCTGCTGCTGCTGCGGCTGCGCCGGGTCGCTGCGGGGGCAAGCAGCGGCACCAGCTGCTG